ACACAAGGATCATGAGTACGGCAGGAGGAGCCTTAGATGGTTCCAGAGGACATGGGGGCAAGGGGAAACCTCCAAATGGTTGGTGAATGTTAATCTAGAGGGCAGCCTGGAATTCTGTGATTGGCTGAAGTTAGAGCAGGAGTTAAACCACCAGTACTTGGGCGACGCCTTAGCGTTAACGCTACGCGATTTCCGCGGCCGGCGGGCCGTCGATAAATCGAATCGACAGCCCGCCCTGCTTTGAGATTTGGGCGGCCGGCGCGGCGCGCAGTGCCCAAGTACTGGTGGTTTAATACCAGGACACTCGGTATCTTAGCCGCGGGTAGACTGGCGGACTGGGGGATGCTGTCGGACGACAACCCAGGGAACAGGGCTGGAGTGCTCAGACTAATAAGGAGCTGGTCTCCAATCGGGGTTGACTTTAGACCCAAGCAGTTGAGAGAGGGTAACAATAGAAGAGCAGAGAGCTCGAGAGGAGAGAGTAATGTTAGTCTCTTTCTTGAAGACTAGCAGTTTACAGGATTCAGGACTGACCTATGGTAGCTAGGCTAAAGGCTGAAGCTTCAATTACCTCCGGGTTTGTGAGGATTCCCGGCCTCAATGTTTTTCTGCTTTGATAATGGAAATTCTCAAATTTTCCCGGAAAAAATAAAATAAAATAAAAAATCTCAATTTCTCAAATTCAGCAGTGGAGGCCCCAATGTCTTCCTCGAAGTAGGCCGGTGGACCACGACCCTTCTTCGAATCCATAGGGGGAGGGGAGCTCGCCCCAGCCGATCTTCCTTTTCCGTGGTCAAGATTATTCGTGGCAACTGAGAGTTAAGGAATAGGTTCGCAGCTGTTTCATCCTGGCCGTCGGTATGAATGATCTACAGCAGAGTATCATTGATCTTCCTGGAGAACATTCCTCACAATGGGCCTCGCTGCACCACTCTTGAAAGGTGAAAAACGAGAGTGAATCTTCCCTTAGAACATGGAAAGATACAGCGACATGATTTTTGTCTTTTGTGCATTTCGAGAGTAGTGGAGCGAGGCCCAATGACTGCTTTTTCTGTGTGCTGGTTACCGGCTTCGTGTCGAGTCCTCAGCCACATAAGTGTAGTCGTGGGGTCGTGCTGGCACTCGATAGTAGCGGGGCCCTCCCTGCCTCCTCTGTGTAAGCCGTGCAAAATGAGGCTGCATCCACGCCGAGAACATGGAAAGATACATTCCCATCTTATTTGTCTTTTGTGCATGTGGAGAGCAGCGCAGCGAGGCGCCTTGCCCCTCTACTCCTACTCCGGCGTCTACTCCCATTGACCGAGGTGTGACTATGGGCATCGCTGCACTGACTCACCGAATGTAAAAAATGAGAAAAAATGAGAATGAATCGTCCGCTAGAACATGGTATATGCACCGCCATCATTTTTGTCTTTTGTGCATTTGGTGACTACCTACGGGTAGTGCGGCGAGGCCTGATGACTCACCGAATGCGCAAAATGGACGATGTAATAAAAGGGGAAAAAAAAAACTGGACGATGTATTTATTTATTTTATTTTATTTTATTTTACTTGTTTTGACGATGTATTTTCCCCCAGAACGCGGAACAAAATACACCCGGGCCGAGGTCCCACTAACAAACAGGATAGGATCGATCTCCTGAATCTGGATGTATTTTAAGCACAGATGCAGAAAAGCAGTTCAATCTCGGTTTCCTGCACATATCCATAAACGCGTCCAGATTCAGGCATTCGATCCGATCCTCTTTGCTGGTGGGACCACGGCCCCGCCATAGTTGTTTTTGTCGTTTTCGCATTCGTGACGTGGTGCAGCGAGGCCCGTTGCGGGAACTGCACATTCGACAGAGATTCCAACCGAATTCAGTCGAAAAATAAAATAAAAAATGAAAAAGGGTGCGCGTGATTGGATAGAGTACGCCCCGCCACGGCGATTCGGGTAGTCGAACTACCGTCTTCCACCAAACATAACGGACCCTAAAAATGAATGTATACGAGCTATATTTACGGCCAGATACAGCCAAAAGAAGGGTGCGTTGTGTTCGGGGGAAGAAGGGAGTACTTAGATAGACGGTAGCACTTCTTTTTTTTTTTTTTTTTTTTTTTTGCGTTTGTTTTGTTTGTATTCAAAAGACAAATGGAAGCCGGGGCCGGGGTCCCCACAATTCAACCCGGATCGAACCTCTGGCAGCATTAGCCAGTTTCGCTTTTTACGGCACCATTAGGAACCGGAAGTCGTCAACATGAGTGAACTGCAMATCTATAGCTATCCTAGCCTACTCTTTTTCAAAAGGCATTGGACGTCTGTTAATTAAAGCTTGGGTGTCTTCAGACTGATAAAGACTTAAGAACCTATAGTTATTCTTGACTTGACAGAGCTGAGCAGAACGAGGTGTGCCGCAATGTGGTTGAGTGCTGTGATTATAAGGAAAGGTGAAGGCTGGGGTTGGGGATTGAACTATGCAGGAACAGTGATTTTAGAGATTAAGACCTGAAGCGAGAGTGGGAGGGGGGGGGAAAAAAAAAAAAAAAAAAAAAAGAGAGAGAAGAAGAAGAAGGGGGGAGAGGGGGGGGGGGGGGGGGGGGGGGGGGGGGGGGGGGGGGAGGAAGGGAGAGTGGAAGAGGGCTGGGTAAGCGAATTGGTTTCACAGGCCTATCAGCGGCCTGGAAGAGTGACGGTAGTACTTTTCAACCTCTCCCTGGATGCAATTGCTGTGAAGTGCGTCCACGTCTTGTCGGAAAAGCGGCCATATACATCCAGGAAATTCCTAGTAGTCTTTGGGCCTCGCTGCAGTACTCTCGGCATGCACAAAAGACAGAAGTCATGGCGGTGCATCTTTCCATATTGTAGCGGAAGATTCACTCTCATCTTGCACATTTCAAGAGTAGTGCAGCGAGGCCCTTTAGTCCCAAAAGCGCTCCGTGATTTGGCTGAGTACGCAACGCAACGCCCGACTGCTTGTACCTGCAGTAGTACTAGAGCACGCTGGCAGCTTTCGTTTGTTTTTGAACGGCATATAACCGTTAGTATAGTCTGAGGCAGGATTTGAGCAGCTCACCTGTTGATCGGCACTTGATAGGCCGTACCACTTGCTGTCAGCCAGCAGGTCGTTCCCACGGGCAGTTTCTCCGCCCCAGGTTTGCATGCACCAGCTCGCCACTGACAGCTGCCATTGACATCGTGGCGCCAACAACCAGGTAGCTCGGCCGGCCGATGGAGCGCGCGTTCCATTGGGCCTCGCTGCACTACTCTCGAAATGTGCCAAACGAGAGTGAATCTTCCGCTAGAATATGGAAAGATGCACGGCTATGATTGTTGTCTTTTGTGCATGTCGAGAGTAGTCCAGCGAGGCCCATTGCCCCACTTCTGTGCAGCTCCCGCCGCTTGTGCACACATCGATCGATTTCGCTCTATTCCTTCCCGATATCGGTATCTCGATATCCCGTCTCAGGGCCTCGCCACCCAACTCTTGAAATGCGAAAAAGACAAAAATCTGGCGGGCGCATCTGGCCATGTTCTAGCGAGGAGTTCATTGGCATTTTGCACATTTCGAGAGTGGTGTCGCCGCTGTGGCGATGCCCTCAATTGTCACACTGCTATGCGTGGTGTCTTTCGTGGGCAGGCATCCTTCGTATTCGATATCACCGAGGCCATTTGGTTGGGAATGAATAGTCGCCTCGTATGCTTCTCTGTTCGGGGGCAAGGTCCCACTTGCACGGATTAGGAGATTTCGACCGTTGATCTCGGCTATCTACGGTCTCTATCTCTTGATTCGTGCAAGTGGGACCTAGCCCCGGGCAGCCGCAGGTCCTTTTTTCCCTTCCTTTTCCCTGGGCCAAACTCACTCCACGGAAACGTATACCCAGATTTCATTACTCCATGCATCTTTGCATGCATTGGACTGCTTGCTTGTTGTTGTGACTTGTTCCCGAGGCGGTCGTCAGTAATTCCCACGAATGCGTTGTATTCGAGAGAGGATGTGGTAGAGTATGGGGGGATGTCTGCGCCTTGAACCGTTGACTTGACGTCATGATCAGTGTTTTTTTTTTTTTTTTTTTTGAAAGCTATACTCTTCTCACAGTCCTTTTTTTGGCGATGTGTGCATGTCTGTCATCGTTAAGGTAGCACCATTGCTAATCTTCTCTCTGTGTATCATTCTACCTTTTCTAACATTGATCCTCGGGGTTCGCTTAAGCAACCTCGAAATCTTACCTATTTAAAGTTTGAGAATAGGTCGCTGATTTAAATTCACGGATGTCCCGCCGGGGGGCGAGCTCGTCCTCTGTCGAGAGTCCGGCAGCTCGTGCGAAGGACCGCCTCGTCCGCCCGCCTGCTGGGCAGTTGATTTAGACCATATGCGTGTCATCCTTGATTGCCCAGGGGCCATGCTATTTACCCTTCTGTGTATCGTTCCAATTTTAACGGATGTCCCGAAGGACGGGCAGTTGATTTAGGGCGTAGGGAGCAGCATTCCGGCGGTAGGGGATGGCGCCTTGTAGTAAGCCGCAAATTTCGGCCGCAAATTTTAACGCATGTCATTGTATTGTCTTGTGGAAACGAGGTGGCAAACGAAACCGCAGGGAGGGATGGGTTCCTGTGGGGTCGTAAAGACTGGGGGCATACAGTTGCAGAAAACGACCCCAGGAGTATGATACCGTGCAGTCAAGAACGTAGACTAAACGTATGGATATCCATGGGCCGCCAAGCTGCCCGACTTCGCCGTCGTGTCTCGGCCTCCTCTCCTCCCTGCGCTGCGTCGAGCGGCGGCTTGCGCATACGTATTACGCTTATGAGAGCAAGTGATTAGCTTTTCTGTGTAGCGGTCTCTTACGTGTGAATTAATGCCGATGTTATGATGGCAGGTGATGCCGGTATGTCAGGTGCTGCGCTGAGCGCATGACGAGACCCGAAGGAATCATAGAAGTGGCGGTTAGACATTGGTAGCTTGGGAGAGTGGGATGTTGGAAGAAGAAAATATCTTCTGGTTGTGCGGGTGAAGGGAGCATCCGGAAGAGAGAGAAGAGAGAGGAGGGGGAGAAGAAGATAGGAGAGAGAATCTCCCTGATATCGGATGTCTCTCGCAAGCGACTGTGGCAGTGTGAGGGGAGATCCGAACAGTCGAAACGGGAGCTGGAGTAAAGGGGCAGGCAGCGGTAGAAGCTGCGGAGGGAGAGGGAGTGAACAGCAGAAGCGCGCGGCGTCACTCTCTCTCCCTCTGCCTACGTCTCGTGAGAAACCACGTCAGGAAAGGGAGAAGACGCCAAAGGGAAAGGATAAGAAAGGACGACGGCGAGCTGAATGTGACATTGCAGAGAGCGCGCCGCGGCGCGAGCAAACAAGGAGAGCGCAGAGCTTCGACTGTGTGAGAACTTGTGCGGACTCGATGCCTAGCTTGTCGCCAGACTCTGGGCGGTCGACCAAGATCTCGCCAGTGGCTATGGTTGCCATCGAAGTCGACTGCAATGGAATTGTTCGCTCGCCCACGCCCTATGTCGCGCTTAGTAGAAGGCTTGAGAGAGAAGGATGCCGAGGATTCGGCGATGTCTTCCATAGCAATTACGGAGAGAAAGAGGAGCTGTCCGTGCTAGCTTCTCTCAATCCGCATCCCAGTCCGTACAACCTCAAGAACAAGCGTTCCTCCTTCACTCATCTCGCCGTCCCTCTTCTCCCTTCGGTGTCGGGGAAGGGACCAGTGAGCTTGGACGCAACGGTGGACTGTGCGCGTCTCTGCGGTGTCGCGATCGCCATTTGCGTCTCCGCATCCAAGTGCAAATTGTGCAAGAAAGAGTGCGCGGATCTCGTTGGCACCATCGAAGACCTCTACTGGGAGATCGATCAAATCACCTCCACGCTCTCGGAAAGTGTAATGTACCATGAAGCCGTAGAACAGTCCATGATGGAGTCGCTCATCAGCACGATGGGCGAGGCTCTGTCAGTTGTGCGGCGCTGTGAGAGGCAAGGCCAGGGGTGCCGGTGTCTCGGCAGTTGTTTCTCCACCTGGTGCATGATTCATCGACCTGGGGTGAAGGCTCAGTTGATGGACTTGCGACAGGATCTGGTAGGCATCAGAGCGAAGATAATCGTTTCGATTGATCTCTGCTCCTTCCTGAAAAGATGGGCCGAGGAGTGCGACGATGGCAACGGACGCTCAAGCGAGTCTAACGGCAGTGGAGCGTCAAAGGCGCCGCTCAAGGGGCGCCGGCGATCACTGGCCAGAGTCTTACAAGATGAAGACGACTCAACGGATTAGTAGGGAGAGAGAGAGAGAGAGAGAGAGAGAGAGAGAGAGAGAGAGAGAGAGAGAGAGAGAGAGAAAGAAAAGGCAGCGGTCGTCATTCATCGACAGCGGAATCTGGAGCCCAACGTTAGACGGCGAGAGGGAGAACGATGACGGAGACGTTCCAGGTCGAATCCGCGGATAAGCAGAGGAGATTGTTGGGCCGAGGAGGGCGACGAGCAGGACCAGGAATGGGAGAGGATAGGTCGCACACACACACACACGCACACACACACACACACACACACTCACACACACACACACACACACACACANAGAGAGAGAGAGAGAGAGAGAGAGAGAGAGAGAGAGAGAGAGAGAGAGAGAGAGAGAGAGAGAGAGAGAGAGAGAGAGAGAGAGAATCTTTCCTGCCTCAGGTCGTGGTTTACGGCTCGATAGCTGGGCAGAGTAAGGAGTCTACCATCTTTCCCCGTGTAGAAAACCTCCGTCGTTTTTCTTTTTAAATTGTCAATCCTTTTTCTTGCTTCACATTCATATTGTTTATCGCCATTTTTCTCGTTTCATATCTGCAATGCTGCTGTAGCTGGCACTACGGTTCTAGTTGTTAAATATGTTCGCGACGTGCATATGCTCTATTCAACTCGGAGAAAGGCGGTACTATTGTTTCTTGGTCGAAGATGCAAACGGAAAGAACGAGCAGACGGCGGCGGCGGCGGCGGCGGAGGAGGAGGAGGAGGAGGAGGAGAGCTTGACGAACGAGATGCTCGCATAGATCGGCCTGGCGGCATGCAGCAAATGCTAGGCATGACAAAGAGAGAGGTCTGGCATTCTCTGCCGATTTTCATCGTTGTCCTTGGTGAAGATGGACAATGTGTATAGTATTATTATGCGTGATTCTCCGTGCGAAGATGGATAACCTGACGTGTTCGGGGCGCTGGAGTAATTCAAGTGGGGTCTATTTGCTGGCTTTTCCACTCAAGAGGGGCGCAGGAAGAATTCAAGGGGCTTCTATTTGCTGGCTTGTGAGAGGTAGGTACCAAGGGAGTAGATGAGGATGGATTTTTTTCTCCCGAGCATAACGCACCCTCATAACGAAGGTATACAACCTATCTTTTCGGTTCGGTACAGCCTTAAGAATGAGTGTGCGTTGTATTCGGGGGGAAGACGGTAGCTTTCCAAGACTTGTTTGCTATTCCTGATATGCGTGTGCGGGAGGCAGTTCTGGACACTACACTACTTACTGTTTTAGTACGTCAACGATTATTTACGAACTGAGTCGTTGGTGGATGCACTTTCTATTCGGAGTACGGCGGTAGCGGTCGTAGCGGTGGAGGCGAAACGACGATGCGGAGGTGGGAGCGGCAGCAAGTTTCGTGTGCGGCGTTGTCTGTGTTGTGGCTCTCCTCTCTCTCCTCTCTCTCCTTTCCTGTCTTTCTTTTCTCCCAAGCCTAGGGATTGCTCCCTATCCTCTCCTACCCGCACGTGGGGTAATTGTTATCAACGGCCGGTTGGCGTTAGTCGTCCGACGGTCCGCATGAGGTTGTCCACCATTTTCCGCAATGCCATGATGTTGCACACCTCAGAGAAGGCGACAGAGGCCTGGAGCTGGGAGTGGGAGGAGACGCTAGGATGGTCCTTTCTGCCCCGCTGGAAAAGAAAAAGAATGCGGCTGTTACTCGGTACTTCCGGGAGAATGAAGAGTGAGCCGCATGAGGAAACAGTGTGAGAAAGTAGGCAGGAACTGGAACAGAGACGGGAACAGGACTAGATGCAGGAATAAGGGGAATAGCAATGGCTCAGCAAAGAATAGCAGGAGGGCGACCAAGTATTTGCAGGATTGCGGAGGGAACACGTGGATAGCTCTAGCGACGTGAACCATGCGTGTGTGGCTCTCGTGGCGGCCGTCGTAGTAGGGAGAGGACGACGGGGACGGAAAACAGAGGACAAGCAAGGACAAAGAAGATCGGGAGGAGAAGCCGCGGCTGGCATTGACATGGTATGCTACAGGCAGGATGGCGAGTGAGAGAGGAAGTACGGATTCATGGACTCGGGTCCCGCTTGAGAGAGAGAGAGAGAGAGAGAGAGAGAGAGAGAGAGAGAGAGAGAGAGAGAGAGAGAGAGAGAGTTCAGCGCTGAGAAGTGATGAGGGACAGGAAATTCAGGGAGAATTCAAGATCGAATGATTCTTGACGTGTTTGCTATTCTTGGTCGTGCATTAGTTATTCCTGGTTTGTCAAATAAACCGAAGGGCGGGAGGGTGAGTCCGAACTGGCAGCGAGGGTAGGCGGGAGCGACTTCAGAGATGTTGGCCCGCCGCGGAGAGGGGTAACTTGCTCCCGAGAGTTTAGCATAAAGCAGTTAAAAGGCATGGCTTAAGAAATAGGCTCTCCCATACGGTGGTTGCGTACTGGCAGGGACGGTAGGCGAGGCCCGCCTTGAAAGATGTTAGCCCGCCGGGGAAGTAACTGACGAGATCTCGAGGGTGTAGCACAGGAGCAGTAAGAAGCCACGGCACAGCAACTAGTTTTTCCCATAACTGTTGAAGTGCGGAAAAGCCTTGTGTACTGGGAAGTAGTGAAAACGATATAGGCTTTTGATGAGAAGCCTTGAGCATCACGAGGTGAGTGTAAGCAGCGGTGGAGGGAAGGAGGGGAAAATGGGGAAACGAGCTCAGTGTATGGCAATACAAAAATGTGGTGACTGTGAAAGCATGAGTAATAGCGCCTGATTAGCTAGAGATTTGTTGTATGTATGGGTCTCTTGCGGGTCTCTTGCGGGTCCTCCTCATGGCTAAATTGCCGGGTGAAACCGTATTGGGAAAAAAGGGGCATCTTCGTCGAAATGTACTTTCTGTATATCCTAATTTTACTTAGTTAATAATGCTGGCGGTGAGACCTTGCTCCATCCTCCTAGATGTGCAAGTACTACTACTGCTGTAATTAGTGGGTGATTTCGGTTGCGTAGATATCTCAGCCGTTTCCGCTACTTGCTAGCCGGCAGACTGCTGCGGGAGTCGGAGGTCAGGAGTCGGCCGAGGAGCTGAACGAGGAGTTGAGCGAGGACCTACCTTCTTCGCCCCAATACAACGTACGGTCATTTTAGTTATATTTAGACTGAAAGATACCCCTAATACAGCTATAATGACCGTACGTTGTATTTGGGGGAACACGGTAGGCCAGGAATTGGACCTTTGAGGAGGTGGGCGGGCGGGAGTTGCGCGAGGAGGGGGAGAGGAGGGAGTGCCGAAGAGTTCGTGAACTCCGTTCTCCTCTCGCTTGAACTCCAGGAACATGGATTGGGTGGGGAGTGCCGTGAGAAGCTGTAATTGAAAGTGATTAGCAGCCATAGATGAATCTGTAGAAGTTGTAGTTGATGATATTCCGTAGGTGTGCGGCTGATGTCACCCATCGACAGGAAGAAGGGGTTTATGGTCTCTCCTGTTGGTCAGGGGGGCAGCAGTACCTTTAGATTGTTACGTGAAACGAATTGAATTTCTTTGCTGTTGAGAACAAGTGATTTTATTTAATCTATAGCCAGACCTAGCTTCCTTGGCTTGCCTTCTTTTAGCTAAGAATGAAGCCAACACTTCGAATGGAATTTGGGAGTACAGGCCGTGCCTTGCTTCCTTTGGGGAAAGGGAAGCGAACATTCGAGGTCGAGCAGGATGGGATGGGCAAAACGAAGTGGGAACTCGTGGAGCAAAGCCGGCGGGAGCTTGAATGGTCGTGGTTTACAGACCGTTTGACGCCATTTTACGTCGTCTGCTGTTTCAAAGTTGACAACAGCAACAATTATTTATCTTGGAAGTCTTCCTTTCACTGATCGGATCGCCGATGTTGGTCCGTCTGGCAGTCAGTTGGACATATTTGAACCTGTTTTAAGTTATGACTCCTGAAACTTTCCGATCCTTTATGACCTGAAGAGTTGAAGCCACTCCCTATTCATTCTCAATCCTCCCCCTCCCCCTCCCCCTGCCCCCTTCCCTCCACATCTCTCTCTCTCCCTCTCTCTCTCTCTCTCTCTCTCTCTCTCTCTCTCTCTCGTGTGGACTCGTGAAAGTGTGCCGCTGTTGAACATGTTGATCATCATTCAATGAGGTTAGGATCCGATCGCAAGCATGGCTGTCAAAATCTCCTGATGATTCTTTCTGAACCCTTTTTTCGTAATTAATAAAGGTTTTGACATCCACGTAGGCGGCCATGCAACCCATGCACGCACGTGATGGCCACAGGTGCGGCGTCACAGTATGTGGAGATAAAACGAGGCAAGGCCTCGTCTCTTATCTCCATATACTGTGTCGTTCCCAGAGCGATGCCGATTCGTTTTCTTTAGGTCGACGTGCCTCCCCTTACGGCAGCTGTGATTCTCAGAGAAACCTCAGTGCTCGGCCACGCACTTGTACCTGGCCTCGAACATTGACAAAAAGCGACCGACCTCCATGTCGCGGCTGCGTGGAGGTCTTCTTGATTTTCCGTTCAGAAGCAACTGAATTCTACTGCACCTAGCAAAAAGGCCGTTTCTTTCCGAGCAGATACTTCAAATTCCCAATCCTTCCTTTTCCTCCTTTGCGTTCTTTTTATAATCTTTTCCATGCCGTCCTTTACTGCTCGAATTCCATATTGTGTTCCCAAAAAAAAATAATAAATTCCATGTTGTGCCCGCACTTCTTTGCTCAGTCCTAAGTCCATGAGTGCACACAATCGCGATGGCAGATTTGTCAGTTGTATATGTGGTGTAGAGCGTGCGTGGACCCCTCCTTCATTCTTGTTCTCCTTGTTCTCCTTCGCTCCTCCGCCTCCTCTTTCCTGCTCTCCTCTCCCTGCCCCTATTCCTCCCGCATTCCCTTTTTTTTTTTTTTTTTTTTTTTTTTTAAAGAAATGCTCCAATCTATTCGTGGGTAGTAACACGTGCTGGAAACAGGGTCCAGCGTCCCAACTTAGACAAAGATCTTTTTTGAGAAAAATTTGAGGAAAAATTAAGAAGACCTCCCCCTGCCAGCATTGATTGCCCGGGAAACGCCCTTTGTTTTTTGTTTTGTTTTTTTGTCTTTTTTTTTAAAGGCCCATGTGCAAAGTCACTATCCGAGTGGTGGTAAGAGAACCACCGGGATTGAGACTTTGCCTAGCGGGCCACTCCATCTATTGGTCCAGCGTCCCGTAAGTACATCTTTGAGTACAGCCCATCATTTATGAGGTCATTGGAAAGCATAGGGACCTGCCAGCATTGATTGCCCTGAGACTCAGGGGATTGACTGCGCAGCGTCTGTACATCAGTGGCCTGTAAGAACCCAAAAAGACATCCAAAAACACAATGCTTCCGGGCCCCGGGGGGCACCCGGCCTCATGGTCGTCTCTCAGCTTTCATGGCTGTCTCTCAGCTTTCCGTATGTTTGGAAAAAGCTCATATTTGCTGGCCTGCCAGCATTGCTCGCACCTGAGTTTTAACTGCGCAGGGTCTGTGTCTTGATATGTACAGAAGACTTCGGTACCTGTGAGCACCCGAAACACAACAGACACAAAGCCATAACAGACCACAGAGAACAGACCGAAGACAGTGGGCAGGGACACCAAATGCCATGTGGGGTCCGGGGGCCACCGGGCCTCATGGCTGTCTCCCTGCCTTCTGGCCATCAGCTGCGGCCGATGGCTGCACTGACTGGGCTCATATTTGGAAAAAGAGTAGGCTCGCCTGAATAAGAACTTCTGGGGTGCTAGTGGCGTCTGCTCTTATCAGCACCCCTAGCATTTACTCGGGTTAAAAAAAAAAAAAAAAAAAAAAAAAAAAAAAAACAGGGATTCTGATGGTACTTCAACAGTCCCACAGGCACACTTCCAGAGATAGAGGATGGGAGGGAAAGGGGTCATTGAACTCATGGGCTGGTCGTAACAGTTCCTTCGGGTCCACCTTTGTCCACTCATGGAAGTGCAGTGAGTAGTCCCTTTCCAAATCCGAGTGCGCCGACTGATGATCTTGTCGTGGAGCCCCTTGCTGGTCTTGCTTGTCTCCTGCCCAGCATACTGTTGCTACCCTGTGACGCCCAACCTCACGCCCAGCGCAACTTCCTGTTAACGGAGTGGTAGTGGGCTTGGAAGTGCGAAAAGGGGGTGTGCCAAGGATTTTAGGAAAGTGAGGGTGGAGTTCCAGGTCAGAACTGGAATTTCCTGTGTCAAGTTCCAGGGTTAGAAGTGCAAGTGTCTCTCTCGGCTCAGAGTTGGGGTGATTGCCGATCTCGCGGCCTGGGTCGCGTAAGGTGCTCGGGTGGGGTGCTACGGGTGTCCCGGTGGGAACGATCGTACCGCTGTCGGCCGGGGCAAGTCTCCGAGGCTGATGAAGATGAACTGTGCTCTCGTTGAGTGATCCCCGCCGAACGAAACTCGTCGTGCTGCTGACACTCTGAGCACGGCGGTCGGGGCCAGAACCGGGCTCTGGACTCCCAGGGGACGACGAGTAGTTGGTGATACAGGAGGACGATGTAATAGGGAGGGAAGTTAGTGGTGATGGGCACGAAGCCCGGGGTGAGAAGGTAATGCTGGGTTCGACTGTCGGAGTAATCCGGGATCCGTGAGTCTCGGTTTATTGCCAGCTGGAAATCACCCTTGCACAGTTGCTCGTCTCCAGTTCGGCAGGGGTACTCAGGATTCCGCAAGTTTCGTTGTCGTCTGGTCTGTTGCTGTTTGACTTGTTCCCTTTCCCAATACGCTCGGTATTCCGGATATCTCAGGCTCTCGCGATCGGTGATCCAGAAAGGAGTTTCGATCGCCATATCCTACTTAGCGGAATTTTGTGCAGGCATCTTTGTCGAGGGGGGGCGGTTTGGCTCTTGCACGCGCGCGCGTAGGCTGCAGGTTACCTCTGTGGGCGGCTACGTTACGCATGCGTGCGCATGAGCCGGCCGATCGGATCAAAGACTGCGTGCGGGTACGTTGCCAATGAGCGAGTTACCTGCATGTCGGTTTATCCTATATGCTTGCAGTTAGTCTTTCTGTGCAACAGTCATCCAAATCTCAGGCAGAACTAATCATTGCGTACATGCTCACACCATCATATACATAAGAGGGCAGAGTTAGTTTAACATCCAGAACCAAGCACCATGTGATCCTCGCAATCATGCAAGACTCAAAAACAGATGATCAGACGCGCGCGCGAGGGACGTATCTGGCCCAACCTGCGGGAACCAAAATTTTCGCAGGCCGTTATACGCGCAACTCGTACTCGAAAGTGGCAAAATTGGAATTTGAGCAAAACAAAATCCTACCCCTTAAGCGCGGTGGGCCCGCGGTGGGGAGGTCGTGTTCCGCTGCGCGCCGGAATCGGGCCGAACTTTTGATTCGGCCCGGCGGATGAAGGCGATCGAGGGCGGGGGTGCG